TATGAGCTGAAAAACCACTTGTAAGTTAGGTTTGGTTTTGTTATTTTAGCTTTTTCCCCTCTTTTTTAAAGCACATTTCCTTACTTTTATTAGTTTTCTGAATATAAATGTAAGCTTGATTATCTTCTAGCTGCCAGTCAGGATACATCTGTGTAAATGTAATGCCTTTTCTTATAAATCAAACTCACACTCAAAAATGTGACAATAAAATATACTGTAGATATGTTGGTTAATTTAAATAATGTTCACAGTATACACTTGTTCCACTCCTTTGTCACATAATTTGGTCTTTTTCTCTTGGGAAAATCATGGGCAAAGGCAGATTAGCTTGAGAGCTTTAGTCAACCAATTTCTTAAATTTTCCTTATGATATAGGTAACAGAATCAAATGAGATTTCTGTCAGCACATGAGTGGAGATACATATGTGTATATATATAAAATTGGAAATAATTTTAAATGGTTTTAAGTACAGAAGTTCAAGTATCCTCAAAGTAAAATTTGGAATTTTTGAATCATTTATAAGTCAGATGTTACCTAGCTATTCCAAATGATTAGTCCTTGGTCTATTTTGACCATGCTTCTTTTCTCCATCCTACATTAGGAGTAAGTGGTATCACCTGAATGAGGACAAGTACAGGCTGCCTCAAATTTTGTATTCCAGCATCTTCCTATACAGAGTGGCACAATGTGACAGGTCAGGATGCTGCACTAGAGTACTCTGTGTCACTTTGTACAATGGATCAAAAGACAAAAGCCAATTATAATATTACTGTTGAGCTTATATTCACCTATCCAGTTTTCCAAAGATCAAAAAGTGCTGTTTTCACTTGGGAAAATAAGTTGGATATTGGCATGCCATTGGACTTCTGGTAGCAGAAAACTAAAATTCATAATGCATTATCAGTGTTAATTGCAGAACAGCTGTAAAAAATCACCCACATTTATTTATTGTAGCTTATTAATTCTATTCACAAAAGTATCATTTTTGCAGTACTTCAGCATATACTTAGACTATTAGAGAAGTTTATGTAATTTAAATCAAGTTTCAGGTAAAGAGAATGGAATTACTGAACTAGCTAAAAATGATCCTTGTCTTTTCTCTTTTTATGTTAGTATTTAATTTTAGTACTAGTCTGCTGCAGTATTTTTTTATACTTTAGTTGAAAAACTGTTTATTTTATACCAAATGTTCTAAGAGTTCTTTTGTTTCTTTTCACATCAGAAACTTGAAGGAGAGCAAAATATGTTGCAAGTTTATTAAAATTGAAAATATGGTGAGAACCCAATATACTGATTGGGTTCACAGTGTCTATATAAAGGAAAGGAACACACAGACAGTCAATTCTAAGGCAGTTTCAATAACATTGCTAAAGAAAAGACTGCTGGTTCAACTCTGGAATGTGAGAAACTATTTTTGGTTTGGTTTAGACCCTCATTGTTACAAATTAATCAACTGCTCTTTAAAGTCTAGAACTCATTAACTTTGTAAGTTTTACTGTTCCCATGACTGAGCTTCACTTAAAATATTCCAGTTTGCTTTAGTAGCTCACCTTGATTCCATTTCTGTCTGTGGTCCACAAGTATCCTCTCCTGTAGACAAAGTGGCCAGATATACTTACTTGAGATTTAAAATATTTTAGAAGATCTAAATGTGGTATAAGTTTATAGCTCAGCTCTCATTATAAATTAGTATTTTCAGCCGAATTTCCACTTTTTGTAGGTAGAAAGAAAATCTTGGAGCGGTTTAACCCTGTGGACTCTGCGGAGCACAGTACTCACAATATTGGATACTTTATTTAAATTTTAGTTTGGTCTGGCTCCTCAAATGCCTGATAGTACCACAAAACTGCAAAAGATATCTTTTAAAATAGTATGAGTTGTTTCCTTTTAGGGCTATTCTAACAGCTCAAATAAAGGGTGATGGCAAGCTGCATATTTGGAGCATGATGTTGTAGACAGGACTTTAGGATGATTCTGTGGCTGCTGTTATGCAGGAAACAGAATTCAATTACCAGAATAGCCCTTTGGCCTTGTAAAATGTAACTGTTGAGATTATGCAGGTCTGTGTGTGACATTTCTCACTGGCAGTGCAAGTTACTGTCTCCTATATGAGCACCTTGTGTCGCATGCAGGTTGAAATGTAAGTCTGAGATGAGTCCCACACCCTTGAAATGATGCAGCAGTCTCTAATGCCCAAAAGGAGACATTATTGGGAAAGTCCATCACAGAAATGTAGGAGAGAGAGATGTGACATGACTACCAAATGCATAATTGCAGAATCTGTAGCTAAAATTCCTGGTTATCTCCTGGTATACACCAAGTTATGCTTAACTGTGTAGGTGCTTGTAAACCTATTATTGTACATAGCCTGCAACAGCTCTGGTTTAAGAGGAGAAGGAAGGAAAGTGAAAAATGCACAGAAGTGCTTTGTGGTTTAACTGTGAAGCTTGTATTAAGTTTCTTGACTTTAGAATGAAGATTAATGATTGATATGTAGTTTGATCTGTTTCCTCACCCATGGAAATAAGAATGGCATTCAGATATGATGTACTAAAACAAAATATATTATATGTTGTGTGGAATAGTTGAAGCTACAGCCTTTACAGAACAGATTGAGATTTGCAATGAAAAGGAAAACTAAAATGAAAAAATATTGAGTGAACAGCAGGGCCCATTTGAGGTGATTACAAAGGATGTTTCTTTATTCTGTCTTTTCTTATGCAACCTGAAAACAGTAGCAGGGGGTTACAAGCAGAGTTCATCACAAAGTTGTCAATCACTGTCATTTAACGTTTTGCAATGGAAGATGTCTTTATTCAAGGACAGCTGGGCAAATCAGAGAAACAGATTTGCAGTTAGTAGTCTGTCCAGCCTACACTAAGCAAACAAGGACAGGGCAGACATACCAGCCTCTCACATAAAAATATAATGGACTCTGCTGACCTCAGTGCCCTCCATTCAGCTTCATTCTCAGTTGTATAAAAGCTTCACTACCCATTCTCAATTTCCTTTAATTACCTACATGATGCAGATAAGAAAATGAACCTCACTTACTTACAGTCAATGATCACAAACAGGAAATTAAGTAGGCAAGTTGTTTAAAATAAGAGGAGTGTTTTGGATGTAAATAAAACATGTGCTGGGGAAGAATTAGGGAAAATGCATTTTCAGGGGTACCAGTTGGTCTGGACTGACTTGGCTGATCCTCCTTCTTTCTGCTACTTTACACTGCAAAGCAAAACTAAGTAAAAAATCTCCTTGGTAAATATTCTTTAAAATATCTTTGAAGGAGAAGCCAGTTAAATAAAAAGAGTGAAGCAAACATGCAGCCTCTATAGGGCTTAAAAAGATTGTGACCTTAGGTTCAGAGAATAAATGACCACAGTTTTCACAAGAGATCTAGCAGAGACATCCAGGATTAAGCGGCAGTTGTCTTTATTCAGTCTTCACTTCTAATCTGCAGTTGAGATATGAAATAAGTTAATGACATTCTGGTTTTCTTTCCAAACCCTAAATTGTCTAATGGTTACCATTCCTGTTACATTGATATCACAGTTTAGACATAGTTTCTTTGCACCATTAAAAAAAATAGAAAATTTTGTGCTGTCAGTTGCCAAGGAGTAAAACCAGCTATCTAAATGCTTTTAGGAATTGTCAGAAAAGGTTCTACGTCTTAGGATATTAATGAGGGGATATGGTTCTTTGTAAGTCAATTAGGTAGCTCAATTACGTGTTCTAAAATTGCCATTTTTCTTTGCCTCACTCTTCACTGGTTACTGTTGTGAATATTTCATTAATATGGATTTGCACAAGTCTGATGAAATTGAAGACTAAAGTGCAAAATACTGGTTCTATAGTTTAAGAGGAATATAAAACCCTGAACACTTTAAATTAATGGTCTCTGCTAAGCCTGTAGTTTCGAAGACATTGCCCTTCAGGCTCCCCAAATGACTTTTTATTTTATGACGAAAGAAATACTCTCATAAATTACAGATGGAAAAGACATCACATATTATAAAACTCTTACCTTACTTGCAAGTTTTATAATTCAGAAAGATAGTTCTCACTCCAAGAGATATGTACACACGTACATGCACAAGAGGATTTTGTGGAGGGAAAGATTGCAGATTAAGTCAGTCACAAAACTGATTCTTTTCTTAGGATTCCATTCTTAGGATGTTTCTGTTGAACCTTTATTCAAAGACAGTGGATTTTCCAAGAGGAGAATTGGCATCTCTGCCTGGGATACCAAAACAGTTGTACTTTCTCCTCTCGGCCGCTATGATGCTGCTGCTTATAACTGCATTTAGCTTACATGTTGGTGGGCAGCTCCTTTTTGCAACAGTGAGAAAGCTCTTACACAGCTTTCATTTTGGAATGAATAGCATTAGTATCACTCTGGAACACAGAGAATGTTTTCACCACCTGCTTAAAATTTTTCACTTTGTTTTGATCACTCATCATTAGTTGCTTAGACACTGACTGCTCAAAATATTGAAGAAATATTTGAAAAGAAGCATATAAGAGCTATTCCAAGGCTACTGGGTTTTTCATACTAAGAGAAAAACTCAAAACCTGAAAACAGAAAATATGAGGTTTTGACTTCTTTATAGCTAACGTTAAAATGTTTTTGTTTTGTTTTGATCCAATGAGGTAGGATACCTGTGGGTCATCTTCTACTACTCAATCCATCCAATGAATGTATTTATTTCATTGCATTTATTTTTCTCTTCTCTAATGTTAGTATCAGCTATATGGAAGGAAAAATATTTAAAATCTGTAAGTGTGTCAGTGTTTGAAAATATTATATTAGTTATTGTTTTCCCATGTGTGATTTTGATAAATAAGTACACTTTTTAAATATTTAAATGCTGCTATTTTTGTGTTGAAATCTAACTGTAGTAAATTAAATGCATATAGTTTGAATGCCTCAGTAAGCAGTAATAGTTATTCTGAAGTTAATTACAATGATTAATTTTTATTTTTATTTTTTTTAAAGAATGCTGATGAGTACACAGATCTGCCTGTGAGACACAATGAAGATCAGATGAACAGCGAACTGGCCAAACACCTTCCAATTGAAGTCAATCCCCATTCATTTGACAGTTCACACACAAAAACACACCTCTTGCTGCAAGCCCACTTCAGTCATGCCATGCTGCCTTGCCCAGATTATGCTACTGATACAAAGACGGTGCTGGACCAAGCAATCAGAATATGCCAGGTATCCTGATGCATTTCAGTATACATATATATATATATACATATAACATATATAAGCTTGTTGGCTTACTGTTTATTGTTAGTGTTCTCATATTTTGAATATAGAAGAATCTGGAGATTTCTTGCAATCTTGTGGAGAGCTGGTACCACAGGATATTATAGCACCTTGTTTAGGGAGGAACTGGATGCCCTAAATGGTTTCCTCTTTACAGAGCTGGAGGTGAACAAACTTAGAGTAAACAACAGTCGTGCTCTGACTGGGGGCATCTACTGCCATGTAATGGCCTCTGCTTTCTTTGCAACAGCTTTTTACCTCTGTATTGTGGAATGTTGTATGAGAATCATTCTGCCATGGCTGGGGTCCCTGCAGATTGTTACACTGACGCCCAAGAACTTCTCTCCCCAGGGTACTTCTACTTTTCTAGCACCCAAAAGCACTATAGCCACTCCCAAGCACAAATATAATGTGTTTTGAAATCTGATTCAGGATGAGATGCAGTGGTTTTTCCTAAGCTCATCTAGCTAGTGTAAAGACACATCTTCTATATCCCAATGATCACAGAGTCGAAGAGCATGTTTTTAAACGCAGATTTTAAACTCACCCTGGAGACTTGTGAGTTTTTACAGTTGTGAAAACTGCAGTTGTACTGCAGTTGCAGCCCACAGAAACTAAACCGACCATGGAGAGTACTGGCAACAAGCAATCACATGCACGGCTGCCATCTCAGAAGAATTTTAAAGCAGCAATTGGAGTTTGGGATAGAGGACAGCCATATCTGAAAAGCTCAGTTACAGTTACAGCAGGAAAGGAGAGCTCTAGCTGTCACAGGAAACAACTGACCCTCTCAGTCTCCCGGGAATAATTCTGCTCTTTAGCTAAACTGCACAAGGACTCATTCACAGGTTCTTGAAGATCAGGCAGCCTTCAACAAACTGCTGTTTTTATGTTTCTGAGTTTAATATCTGCAAAATAGAGCCGGTACTTCTTTCTTCCTACAGTTTTTGTTTGCTCAAATTTTAATATCCTCAGTGATCTGTTTGTCAACTATCAGAAGCTTTGCTCTTGTTTGAAGCCTGTTGGCAATACGGTAGCTGCAAACATCATTGTGTCAAGCCTGGCAGTTTGTAAAACTGCTCTATGAGAAACTATTAATCAGTGCTCTAGACAGAGAAAATACTGTATGCAGTTCAGTCCAGCAATTTGGGTAAGGCTCATCCTTACACTAATAAAAACAAGCTTAAAATACTAATATCAAATTAAGCAAAACTGAAATTAGGGAATGTAAGGAGCAATAACACCACAGATGTTACCACTACATAGTCCTAATCTTGGTAACCAGCAGTGCTTGGATGCTACTCTGTTTCAAGTATTTCAAATCAATAAAATTATGGTGCTGAAAATGTAGAAACAGCTATGCCATATATTCAGTTATTAACAGAGAAAAGCATCACTTGCTCAGGTTAAAAAATTCACCTTTGTTTCAAAGCAATCACATACTTCAAGTTCATTTAGATGTTTGTGAAGTAAGCACTAGGGAGTTAATTACATATTTGGGGCAAATTTAAATTAAATAAAATTTTCTGTAATTATTTTGTTCTGTTTTGCTAAGAAATGTATTTTCTTAATCCTGCTACTGCATCATATGTATTTCAGAAACAGTAGTCACTTAGAAAAAAAAAATCCAAAGTATTCAAGAGTTCCTTTAAACTGAAGTAGAGTTCAGAAAAATGCCATTCCATAATATGCCTTGGCACTCCAACCTTCAGTTAACTACTATATCATGTTATATACAGTCATCTTAAAAAAAAAAAGCAAAAAAAAAAAAAAAATACGAGCAGTTTTGTATTTTAAAGTTGGCACATGGTTTACATCTCTCAGGAGATTATTGGTTCCATCTTATTAGTCACGCTTTCCAACGGGAGGTTAAAGTTCCCAGAATCCAAGCAATAGACAGGGTTACACTTTCAATACCGGTTGTTACCTTTTTCCTTAGCACTGACCTGCTGATGAACTCTGGGTCAGCAGAGGTAGAAAAAAGAAATGTTAGTTATGAGGAGGGGAAGTGAAGCCTGGAAGGATCCCGTGATGAGCAGATTCAGCGGGTGCTGCTCTCTCTGTGAACACGCGCTCGCGCATCGTCAGACGTTAAACGCAGCAGTGAGGCGGGAATTGGTTTTTGAGTTACGTTGAATTTTTTTTTTTTACTTATAAATTATTTTAGTGTTGAGGTTGTATAGCTAGCCTTCAGATTGTGACCTGAACATAAACTGTTCTTTTTGCTGGTAGATACAGGAATATCAGGGGGGACTTTTCATATCAGCATTACTTTTCTATTACACGAAAGAAAGATGTTTCAAAGAGCTTTTATAGGTGGTTATACAGCAGGTCCCCTGCCGTGCAGATTTGCCATGATATGTAAGCAAGCCTCTTTCCACCACAGACTATTAAACTTCTCCAATTTTCTGTGGTGTCTTTTACCTGAATCAGCCTTCCCTCTCATGACTCCTTTCCTATCCACATCTTTCATTCTCTCTTTCATTCCTCCAACATCTTCTGGGTTTTTTCATTGCTTGCAACTTCAGGCTGAGTATTGTTACTGGTCCAGCAGAAAACCATGTTAACAGCATTACATAGGTAAATGTAGCTGCTGGATTCCAGGTAAGATTCCACTAAACTTTAATGAAAAAATTATGAACAACTCTTTTTCATGGATGTCTTAAAAGTTTTGGCTCTACATTAGAATTTTCTTGTTTCTAATTATGGCGAAATATTCAAGTCTTTAGCATTTAACAGAATTTGAGGACTTACAATGCTGGCTTAATAGGGGAATATAATTTTTAGCATAAAGAAAAAAGAAGTGTATTTTGTTACAGTTTTCCTATGGTTAGCCTTTGTTAGCTATAGGTGGAGTTCATTACAGCAAGATAAAATTTAGTATTTATATATCTAGGATGAAATGCAGAATTTTTTCATTTTATTGCAGAAATATGGGGAATAGCAGTATGTAGCCTTTTGGAATGTGAATGCCTATCTGCTCCCACTCCCACCTCTGTAATGAATGGCCACTGAGGCATTGACTAGGCTAAAGACCCCTTCTCTGCACTGAAAACCTCAAGTTAAAATCTAGTTTGTTATCAGTGACAGGCTCTCACAGATAAAGTGCAGGAGGTTCCCATGGCTCAAAAAAACTGCCTAAACTTCCTGTGTGACCTTGGCCAACTCATTTAATTTTTATTTACCTCAGATACCATTAGTGCAGTTACAATAGACAATATATTCTCTTCAAGCCTAGCACTCTCTGTTTTTTTTTTACTGAGAAAAGCTAGAGGTGTGATTAAGATTGTGCTGAACACTCCAGTAGCTTCTCAAAATCAAACATTTCTTCATTTCTTTCAGGAGAATGTACATTAAATAATAAAAATTCTAATGAAAATATTTTTCTAACATTTTTATAAGATATAATTATTATTGTAAAGACTATACTCCACCTTTTTTTCCTATCTTATTTAAGAATACATGAAACTAAATCTAATCTCTTTTTTTGCTTCCTTTGTCAGGCCTTATATTTTGTGACTGTGTATTCAGCGATCAGTTCTTATTCTGCTGTTCCGAGACTATTGCCTATATTTGCATTAATTGAAATGGATAATTGAGGCAGTAATACCGTCACTCTCAGATTCAACAGGGCAGTCTCTTCTCAGAAATAATGTGACAGTTGTTGGCTTTGCATTGGAATTGGCCACAAGCCTCCACTTGTACTATAATCGTTGATAAAATATTTTAAAATTGCCAGGAGTAGAACTGCCATGGAGCTCAGCCCTAACCTTTGAGAAGTGTTTACCTTTGGATGTGTTAAACACATCTCAGTAGGGTAGCTGGGCATTGAGAGAAGGTGGACATGGAAACAGATTCCAAACTGCAGAAGAAAGAGTACTTTGCATGGGAAGTGTGCCTATCCCTGTAACAAGGACCTTGCAATGCTATCACTAATACCCTGTCATTCCCCATCATGTTAGTTCTCTGCAGAATCTGATTTTGGCAGGAAAGAAAAATACTCTTTATGTTAAGCACTGTATTTCCTTAGCTAGATGGTGATGTGTATAATACTGCTTTACCCATTCTAAACCAGTTGAAGTTGTTTCTGGTCATTTGAACTGCAACTTTTGCTATAGTTCTTATGAGGATCATCTTTGTGGTACGTGTTCAGAGCTGTCAAATATTGCACAAATATGCTGCTCAATTCAGCTAAGAGCTGGCTTATGTACAAAATACTTACTGTACTAAACTGCAGCTGTGCTGGGTGGTGGTGGTGGCTCCTCAGAAGGAGAAGGAGAACACAAAAGTACTTCTGGCCATGCAAAGGCAAAGGAGCCCCTGTTGCCATTTTGAGACTCAAGGAAAGAAAATATCCTTTGTCTCTGCACTTCTCATCATCCCAAAATCTCCTCAGCTCATAACAGCCACTAAAACTATTTATTTTGAGAGCCAAGTCCCTTGGATCTTTTGTTTCTCTGCTTATGAGGAAGTGAAGAAGTTTTTAAAGGTCCTAAGAGTGGTTTGGGCTCATGTATTGCTTGTTGGTAGTGCAGGTGTGCCAACTGCTTGCTGGCAGGTGGTGGGAGTTAGAGAAAAAGCCTATTTTACAGCTGTGTAAGTAAGACTTGTCCAGAAGTGTCCAGGGAAGGAGCTTTTGTGTAATGGTTGCACTGGCAGCTATAAATAAATGGGCAGCTTCACTGAACGAAGGGAAGAGAATCAAATTAACTTGAGAATGCAGAGGATTACTCAGGAACAAGTGAAGAGCAGAGGCCACATCTCTTCAGCTGCTACACATATTCTTTGTGTATGCAGTAATATTCCAGTGATAGCACAATGTTTGCAATTTTACTTAAATACTGGCTGCTTTCATAGCTGTATGGCTATTATTGCACATTAGGAGTGTGGAAATAATAGAATAATAAAAAAATCTTGTCATGCTTTTACTGAGCAACGCTCACTTA